AAATTTCAGATTACTTTAGCAACACTGTAACAACACAATTCTGATTCGATCATTTAAGTGACTAATTGCAGGAACGCATCCTTTCAGATTTACTGAAACGTACATCGAAAAAGCGGTGGGCCTTGAGTGTGACAGAACGATCAAATATTTTTTTCAAAATTGCTTCTACATTAGGTATAATCAGACTAATCATATCATCAATATTATATTGATAGTCATTGCCCTCTGGACGGGAATCAATTGGATAGATCATTACGTGTTATCATTTCAAAATTAAAATGTGATATCTGCATCGACGAGATGCGTGTGTGTTCCAAGTATCTCAAACAAACGGAAATAATTTAGTAAGTTCAAAAGAAAGCCGCCCAAAATGTCATATACTTTGTTCGTTGCCATATAACCGCGAGCTGTACTTCATTGCACTTAACACACTGCAGTCAATCATGGACATATCAAGTGGTAACTCTGTTCCGTTCATTCCATTGTAGCATAATAGCCAGCTTCAAAACGAAAGTAATGTTATTCCTTCTCCGGTATTATAATGTACTTTGATTCAGATTGGTGTAACATTGAATTGGCTAGATTTCATTTTTGTCGCCGCGTAATATTATCATTGACGTGAGTTTCTCTCGAGAAAGGTTAAATGGCAACACAATGATATCAACCATTAGAACTGTCACAAAAACATATTTGAACTAAGCTATATATTGGAGAATGTCTATTACGACCGTCTGGTGTCGAAATTAAGACAACGGGCACGGAAATCACTCAATACAACGTTGTTTATCACGATGTAAGACACATACATGACAATTCTTATAGATTTTAAACCAAGAAATTTCAACGTCTATTACAATTTCACCAAGGAGAACGCAATGCAACACCAACTGCAATACATTAATTCCTAGTTGAAACCAGCAAATGTTGACCGACTTCACAGTCTTCTGCCGTATGACACTAGTAATTTTCACTCTTTATATTGATTTAAATTTATTTTACCATTATCTTTATATTATAGGTAAACATTCATTTCCAGACCTCTGTATAATGTATGGTAACCTTGAATTTTGCGTATGATTCCTATCGTATCTTTTAGTTCTGCTGATTCATACCCGCCGATGTACATATAATATTCTAGTTCAGAATTGCCACAAAACCTCATACCTCGTTACTGTAATTACCCTTCCAATTATTTTAATATCGGAATAATCTCGTCGGTAATGTTGGATTATTTGCCTCATAGAATATCGGGATACCAATATTTTGACAGTTGAAACTGCCTACCCTCGTACATAGACCCTAAAGGTCTAATGTACGTGAAGAGGTGTATATAAAGAGAATATGACTTCCCGATGAAAAGTTCCAAGAAATCTTCTGTAGAATGCCAAAGCTTTAGTATTGTACAATAGAATATTGAATACTGAACGTTACGCTTCGTTACGTTACAGCTACGATTTTGGAAAATCAGTGCTGGTGAAGTTAGCGAATTTCAGGCTGCTAAGAAGAGCCATCAGTGATCGATCTGCTGCAAAACTTAAAACTCGCTTGTTTAAATTAGGTTATGTAAATATTGTGGACACCGCTGTTTTATGAGTTCGACCTACATGCATTTTGATTGTATTATTTAACAAAAAGTCATTGTAATAATAATAACAAAACATTAATTCAATTTAGTTTTAATTTTTACAATTTTAGTTCCAATTCCGACGCCACGATTGACAGTGCGGCGAACATCGACACATTTAATTACTAATTACTGCAAATTTAAAATATTTACCAGTTAACCTAATTTCCTAATGTTCGGTTTCGACAGAAATCTGGCCGAAACGTTTGTCGATGAATATTTGCGAATCGTGAGCGAAGTATCATCATCTCACCACAGACATACAGAGTACAAACATCAAACACTTACATTGTGATCACGATTAAAATGTATGACCCATAACGGACAAACCCCGTCCGAATAAAATCTCACTCTGTACCAATAGTGTGTTATCATCGCTTCCTTGCTTACTAATTTAAAATAATGTGAGGAGATTGATTCAAATTGTTGGCAGACTAATAAATATATATACGTAATTTTGTTTAATTCTAGCGAATCATACCCCT